GCTTGGGAAAAAAAGGGTATCCCGGTGGACTGAAAACCCGAAAGGGCGGTCCAGGAAAAAGTTAGGGACTTAAAGCGTATCACTATGTCCCATTGGATCACCTTGCAACCAGACCTCGGTATCAACTATCAAGCTCGAACGGTACCAATTAATCCAGTCAGCTTCATACAAGTAGCAAAGTGATGAGACGCTCGAAGACATAGCGACAATAGCATAATTGAAACTCAATGGAATTATTACACATAGTTGTTTTCTTCTCTTTGTACACAATATTGTATAGTTTTCATTTCACAACAGCGTTCTCTTACTAGAGCGTCAGCTTCCTTGTACAAAAACGCATGTTATAGGCCAACTTCAGAAATTAATACAAGTCATTTTCTCAAAACCATTTGTTTTCTTTTTCTGTTTTGTTTTGCAAAAACGTCCAATGATTTATTCTTGACATATGCATTTGAATATAATTGCTATTCACAAATATTTGCATATGAAACAGAAAGGCAATTGATATGACTTAAGGAACGGGGCGAAGCCTCCGTAGGTACTCCTTCCAGCAGGTACATGGGAAGGTACAATTTTGAAACAAGGTCACCATTATATGCGACTCTGTGACGTCTACACTCCCCACAGAGTAGAGGCAACCAAAGCTTTGACACCAGCTTCCCCAAACAGGAGCTACTTTCCTCAACAAAGTTCCTTCAGAGAGCCGACATCTATATTCCCCAACCGAATTTTATAATTGCAAGCGGTTCATAAAGTTTTCTCCCGAGCAGAGTTTATTTCTATGAATACAGAAGCTTAAACCCCAACAGAGTTTATTCCTCCGGCTATGAAATTTCATCCCCCAGCGGAGTTTATTTCTTCGAATCGGCAAAATCTTCCAGCAAAGCATCTCCTCTCTCAAACAGAGTTATTCCCCGTCAGAGTTATTCTCAAGCAGAGTCTCTCCCCGGCAGAATATTCACAAGCAGAAAGGAGTAAATCCACGACATAGTCATCTTTGTTCACCACCCCCGGCGAAAGTAGAAGAACCACTTTTTCTACAACAGTAAGGAATTCAATTTCTAGTACTCTCCAACAACAGTCAGGGATTTATTTTCCCAGACTCGGATATGTCACAATAGCATTTCATGTTCACACATCATGACATACGCATACATATTGCATATAGAATAATCTCATTTATTTTGAGAACATCATTGCACAATGCATTTCATGCATCGCATATAATTAATCTTGTACCTTTTTCAGGAAAGATGGTTATCATCAACAATTCCAACAGTTCAAGGTTAAATCCATGAAGCTATACATGTCATATCTGCAGACAACTAATGGAAAATCAGTTCCCGAAACCAAACGGGTCAACTAATCTACGTGATCAAATGAGGCAAGCCCTATTATCCAGGCTTTCATTTCTAAGTAACCCTACTACCCAGGTTCCTTCTCACAGCCCTACTATCCAGGCTTTCATTTCGAAGTAACTCTACTACCCAGGTTCCTTCTCAGCAGCCCTACTACCTAGGCTTTCATTTCGAAGTAACCCTACTATCCATGTTCCTTCTCATAGCCCTACTATCCAAGCTTTCATTTCGAAGTAACCTTACTACCCAGGTTCCTTCTCATAGCCCTACTATCCAAGATTTCATTTCGAAGTAACCCTACTACCCAGGTTACTTCTCATAGCCCTACTATCAGGCTTTCATTTCGAAGTAACCCTACTATCCAGGTTCCTTCTCATAGCCATACTATCCAGGATTTCATTTCGAAGTAACCCTACTACCCAGGTTCCTTCTCATATCCATACTATCCAGGCTTTCATTTCGAAGTAACCCTTCTGTTGTACCCCAAAATTTGCCCTCTCATTTTACTCAATACATGCGCATTGAGGTCCTCAATTTGCTCAAGGATGCCCAAGAGTTGACCAAACAAACTCTCTCCTAAGGCAATGTACCTCAAACTAGGGTTTACATTTTCATCAAGATGGATGAAGTACAAAGGTACCAAATGCTTTCCATGGTACTAATATGTTCTTAAGATCATCCATGTCAAGTTTCATGCCTTACACAAGAAGTTTGCTCAGTCAATTGCTCAGATGCCTGAAAATCAACTATATTAGGTCAAAAGTCAATTGTGGCCCACATACAGTCAAACTTCAAGATTTTTGGTCAACATCAACATTTTGAAGTTATATACATCATTTGATCAGGGGTTGATCATGATTCCTCAGGGAATGCTCCAAATTCATCAATACCCAAAAGTTGCTAAATTAGGGTTTCTTAGTAAAAGTCAACCAAACTTTGATCAAGCATAACTTCTTCATACTTTATCAGAAATTTTTCATCCAAGGCTCATTTTTAAGAGGATGCAATTCCCTACAACTAATCTTCAACCCACAAGTTAAAAATATGCACTCATCAAAAGATATGAATTTCTATATTATAGGTCCTTTTGAAAAGTCAACAAAAACACCTTTTGGGTCAAAGTTTCTTACATGAACATGGAAGACCTAATTGAGATGAAAGTAAAAGGGTTGTTTAGGGGACATCCTAAGCTTTATATAAAGTCCAATAACACCTCTCTAGGGTTAAAATTTGAGGAGATGTGCCTTGTCAAAGTTGACCATTTTTGCAAAATTGCCAAAAGTCAAATGTGCTCAAAAATGCATTTTTGTCAAATGGGCCTAGTTTTTCATGATTGAATCTTGTTTGTGACATGGTCCATGACCCAAATCAACATCTACACTTTATTTGCTTCATTATTTATTTTATTTTGATTTTTTATTATTTAAAATTCAAATTAAATCAAATAAATTGCAAAAAATACAAAAGATTGATTTTTTATATGATTTTTTTGTAGGAATCACAATCTAATCAAGCTGGTATATCAGATCAAGTCGTGCAAAGCAAATTGAGGCAAAAATTGGCATGATTAGGCCTATTTTAGAAAGATATCATACAAGGATAAAATCAAATCCAATCTCCTTAATTCACCAAGATACATTGCGTTTTTGTTAACCTAATGTATCCTAGTACAAATACAGAACATAACCAAGGCACAAGAGAGAGGATGGGCAGTGGAAAAACGCCATACCAAAACTCAAAAAGTTGGACAAAAGTGCTGGATCGTTTTCCAACTTATAGGGTAATTCAAGCCATTCCAACGCTTCCAATCGTTTCCTGGAGCCTCTCTGAAGCTAACACGACCGGTTGCACGCCTCCACAAGCCCAGAATCACGAGCTACAGACCCACGATTTGCTCATATAATCTTGAATTTGATTTTACAATTTACGCATGATTAATTACTTTTAAGCATATCATTGTGTTTGTATCATCATTTGGAACGTTTTGGTTCAATCAATTTTGCGTTTTGATGCTTGTATGCGTATTTACCATTATTAGGGTTTATTCTTGCGTTTTAGGGCTTTATTCTACAGGTTAAATTGGGCCAAGAAAAGAGTACCATGATACTCGTGAGATCAAAACGAGTTGATCTATGTACTCACCATTAATTTATCATGCTTGTTTAAGATTTTTGAAAGATGCAGGGCTATGGTTACAGACACAGGCCATAGGTAAAAGTGTTATACCTAAAGCGACGGTCTGGGGAGGAAGATGATGAGTTGGCGCAACCTCCCTGGCCCGTTTGAATAATCGCACGCGTTTTTGTTATCCATGTTGTTTCATATATTATTGATTATTGTTATTATATTGACAATTAAAACATATGGCCCAGTGGTGAAGCGCGCGTTGTATGAGTGGGAGGACCTGGGTTCGATCCCAAGTTCCAACAATTTTCTTTATTTTCTTAACATTTGAACGCAGGTTCCATGCATTACGGTACAAGACGTCCACCATGCACCTCACAATCCAGCCAATGGATTCCTCATCAATCCAATCCAACGTCCCACATGTCAAGGACCATAGTACACTCTCCAGGCCTGACCAACACAGGATCACAGTTAGGACTGGGCTGAGCATAATGGGCTTGCAAATTCAGCCATACACCCCCTGGATTGCTTTCACAAGCAGGCCCAATCTCTTTTCTTTTCTATTTTATTTCTTTTCTTTAATTATTTTATTAATTATCTTTTTTACAAAATAACACAAAATCATACTAACTTAATAGAAAGACTCGATACTAATCCTTATTCATGAATATACATAAACTCAATTCTAAATTTAAATAATAATAATAATAATTAATATCAAAATTAATATTTAAAAATACTCTAATATAATCTAAATTAATACAAAATATATTATCAAATATTTTAATATTTTAATGAACGATTTGACTTTTTAAAGAAGTAATATAATTCTTTATTTTCTCTTTTCATTTCTATCATTTGATCTGATAAAAATTTTGAAATTTAAATTTAATTTGTGACCTATTATAAAGTTATTTTTTAGTTTGAGTCTAATATTTTTAAATATTTAACTGATTTATTAACTTACATAAAATTTTATTTTATATAAAATATTTATAAATTAGCAACTCAATTAATATTTAAATAAACTAACAAATTAATAAATATTTATTTATTCTGATTTATTCAAATTTTCGTATTAACATAAATTTTATTATACTATTTGTTTTAGAAAATTTATCACAATATTCATAAAAAAAATTAATTTATTTTCATAAATTATTCAAAATAATTAAACTTCATTTTTATATTTTAATTAAAAATATAAATACAGTATAATAATATAATAAATTATTTCATATTTTATTTAAATAGGGTGGCCGAATAGATTTAAAATATTTTAATGAGTGACATAATTTTTTTAACGAAATAAATTTATAAAAAAGTCTTGATATTTTTTATTTAAAAGAATCTAATTTAGTCTGGAATTTAACGAAATAGATTTATAAAAAAAGATAAAGACTCTGGCAGACTGGCTCCATGCAATGATGATGTCCCCTTGCTTTTTCCAATTTAAAGCCTGAAAAATGAATAGAACAAACTCCTCCCAAAACCTTCCCAAAAACTCCATCACTCATGGCTATCATCACAGAACAAGAACCAGATCAACAACAACAACAACACCAACCTAAACAACCAACCAAAACCACACCTAACCAATTATCTTTCTGCCTATACTTCACTCTTCCAATCTCTCTCATTACCCTCTACTACCTCTTCACTTCCTCACCACAAACATCCTTCCTCAACTTACCCACCACCCTCCGTCACCACTACTCCAACGGCCGCTTCATCCAACTCCAAACCCGCCCAAACCAACAACCCATTAATATTTTCACTTTCCAACCACCTCCCCTCACTCCAACGCCTTCGGAAACCGTTCTCATTCTCCACGGTCAAGCTCTCAGTTCGTACTCTTATCGTAACTTAGTTCAATCTCTTTGCACGAAAGGTGTTCGCGTTATTGCCGTTGATCTCCCGGGGTATGGATTCTCTGATAAATCACTTCAGGTTTCAGCTGATGGGTTTGATGGGTTTTTTGGGAGGGTTACTTATGTTTATAGTCAGATTCGAGAAAAGGGTTTTTTCTGGGCGTTTGATCAGATTGTTGAGACGGGTCAGATTCCTTATGAGGAGATTATTAAGAGAATGTCTGAGAGGAAAGTCAGTAAGCCTATTGATTTGGGTTTGGAAGAGATTGGAAAAGTTTTCGGAGAGGTTATTGCTGCTTTAGAGTTGGGTTCTGTTCATTTCGTTTTGCATGATTCGGCGTTAGGGTTTTGTGCCAATTGGGTTTCGGAGAATTCAGATTTGGTTTCGAGTTTGACGCTTATTGACACGGGGATTGATAATTTGGGTGCTTTTCCTGTTTGGCTTTTGGAGGTTCCTTTGATTAGAGAGGTGGTTTTGGGGTTTCCTTCGGTTTTTGCAAAGGTGGTGAGTTTTTGTTGTTCTAAGAGAATTGGTGGTTTGGAGGGGGATGCGAATAGGGTGCTGTTGAAGGCTGGGGATGGGAGGAAAGCTGTTGTGGCTATTGGGAAGAATTTGAATTCTAGCTTTGATTTAGCGGAATGGGGTGGTTCTGATGGATTGAAAGATATGCCAATGCAACTGATCTGGGCTAGTGGTTGGTCGGAAGAATGGAGCCGTGAAGGGAAACGGGTTGCTGGCGCTCTTCCACGGGCAAAGTTTGTTACACATTCGGGAGGCCGGTGGGCTCAGGTGTGTACAAAATTTATCGTCGATTCTTTTGTATTACTTTTCATGCATTGTCCTTCTATACTTGACTATGATTTTGTTATTAATTATTTGTTGTGTGGAATTGTTTCATTGGATTGAAATGAATGCTGGAATAAAATACTAACCGTATGAATTACACCGAGAATTTGGGAAGAACTAGAAGTGACGGTGTTATTACTTGAGAATCAGCTGGCTATTGCTAATATGCTATTGCTCTTAAACCTTTATCAGATTAATTGTACAATAGTTTCCGTACTTGATTTTGTGATATCCGTAGCTAGCTATGTTAGTATTTGTCTGAACTTTCTGGAAGACTCTCAATTGCTATGCTTCGATAACAAATTAGCCTTAACAACAATAAAACCCTTTCCCATTAGGTGGGGTGTTACATTATTACATAGGGTAGAATGAACCAAATGCTTCGTCTTAAAGCTAGTCTAGCAAAAGAGGAACCCTTTTCTATTGCTACAACATTGAAACATGCAAACCTCTTCCTTATATGTACTTGTAGTGTTTGCCAATTTGACGTTCTGGAGTAGTTCTGTATTACTGTTGCTTTTCAGATGTCTTCCTAACATTGACTCATCATTTGTCTTCTCTTATACTCTGGGATGTTCTTATTGGAGATGTAAATGTCGTACAAAAACTGAATATACATGTTTATTTGCAGTATGTTATACAACAAAGGACTAGGGAAATCTTTCTAGAATTGGCTAAAGAACTTGTAGCACTTAATTTTTACTTTCAACCTTTGTGAATCTCCGTATCACCAGCTACAATAGTCCTTTAGTGATGAAGTAGAGCTTAACTGATCATGTTACTCTGCGGTAATAATTAGTAAAATACTAATATCAGATACAGAATGATAACATAACCTTCTCTCGGAATTTAAAGAACTATATGCAATTATTTCCCCTTAGTATATTCATTCATAAATTCAGAAGGAATAATTTTGGTTCCTTTGAGGAGAGAAGAGGATGTTTAAATACAATATTTGAGGTGTAGGGAGAAGTAGAACTACAGACTATGGTGTTTAAATACTATATTTGAGGTTTAGGGAAAAGGAGAACCACGGTGCTGTGGTAATGAACTTTGTTTCTTGGTTTTGCTTAAAGATTTCAATCAAAGAAGGTTGAGAAATCATGCTCTAGCCTCCTGATTTTTCTCATATCCTATTATTTGTGTTTATGCATCACATAAATCACCATTATACTCGGTGATATTATTTTCTGTTTGCGATTGAAACTAACTCAATTGTGATTTTAGGAGGATGTAGCAATTGAGATAGCTGAAAAAATTTCTCAGTTCGTCTTGTCGCTACCAAAGACTGTCAGAAAAGTTAAGCAAGAGTCCTCCATCCCAGATCACATACAGAAGAATCTGGATGAAGCAAATAGTGACGATGGTCATGATAATCATCATGGTCACGGACGGACATGATCGTGTTGGTGAAGCTCAAATCCATGAAGCTGGTTATATGAACGCATACAGGCTTTGTCACTAGATATTACCGGCTAATATACACGCTAGTAGACATCACAAGCTACTAAAGCCGAGATGTTGTATGTTATTTATTTTAGCTGTTTTACTTTTACAAATCTGAAGGTGGTGAGAAAATTATGGCTACGTAACAATTATGAATAGTGTGACTCTTGTTCTAACTGAAAATCTAATTACATATGCTCTTGATTAATTGGTCTTCGGAGCCTGTTTTTGTGATTCGGTTTAGGAACAATTTTTTGAAGGTGTTTTTCGATATGGAATGTTGATCAAATGTACTTGAACTATTTTGGTTATTTAGATGACTGAAGTAAGTAATGTTTGATGTCTAATTAAAATGTCGTTGCAGAAATATGAGAATATATTTATACTATGATCTATATGTATGCTGTAACTTTTAAAAATTGCAGTAACATGTTTGTGTAATTTTGAGATGATAAGAAAATTTACATTTCAGAGTAAATGGATGTAACATACAGATACACAAGGTCCTCCTTTCTCTTCCTAGTTTCTTGCTCCTACATGTATTCTGACTATATTCACTTTTACATATACAATGGGAATCGAGAGCAACTTGTTTCTTTTCTCTGATTTCCCCCGGATTTGGTAATAAAGCTTGAAAGTTCGAAGTGCATAATAAATTTGCTTGTGAACGCATTAATAATAAATAATGGGAATTTCTTATTTTTTTAGCGCACCGCGAAATATATTTTCGGAAGCACTCTTAGCTAGACCTTTGATGGGCAAGATCAGACAAAAGAAAAACCTCATGTCATGCAGAAATTAATCGAAAATATACTTATGGGAGGGGCCTGTAGGTGCATTTTCCGTTCGTGTTAACACAAATACGCGCGTTGTCTCTTCCTCTTTCTCATTTTAGAAGTGTTTTTGAACTCAAACATAAAATCATCTCAAACCCCCATTGTATGAAAATCATCCCATTGTACGAAAATCTCATCAGAAATCAACAAACATACAAACATCATTGTTCAAGCTGCGTCAACCAACAACAATCAGAATTATAAGTTATTTTTGAGCTTTTTTGAGTTAACGTAATTTCACCTAGAAATTGTGTTTTAGGTTAGATAATCCAAATATTTTTAGTGTTCGCAAGCTTAGAAGTAGGAATAAACGTTTTAGTATGGTTGTTTTTACGATCAATAACAGTTTTTTTGAGGTCTTAGTGGCTGAGACTCGGGAAGCTCTAGAGTATAGGAGGCAGCGGAAGAACGCCAAGAGAGTCACGGGTCAACTCAGAGTTCGTCATACGCAATAGTCTTCACATTTGTATATCTTGTACTATATTTTGATTTGGACAATATTTTGTTTATCGATTTTGGACATATATATATATATATATATATATATATATATATATATATATATATATATATATATATATATATATATATATATATATATATATATATCAAGGTGTTTCGGAGATACATCTCCGAAAAATATTTGTTTGTACTTGGACGTTATATTTAAACATGCAGCAATATTTTCGGAGATGCATCTCCGAAACACCTTGATTTGGGGTGCTTTCGATGATACATCTCTGAAACCATGGACAATGGTATATATATATTTTAAAATCATCAATATTTTGATAAATAATTAGATGAAAACGATAATAAAAACGTAAATGAAAAATGATAACAAATAAAAAACGATAATAGACACAATAAATTATTTAAAATAAAAAATGATACAATAATTATCCATAAATTATTCTGAAATAAAAAAAGGCATAGCCTACTGCATATGCTTGATCCTCACTCCCTGGCCCCTCCTCTGTCTCGCGTATCCCGCCACACTCTTTGCCTCCCGACCATCCTCTCTACAATGGCCACTGTCTTAGGACCGCCCAATCAATAATATCTATGTCCGAAGGCTCCCGCCCAATCATCTGTATTCGCTGACAGATTGACAAGAGATTAATGGCATGGTCATCCTCGATCTGTTGGTTCTCTAAGATCTTCTCACGAGCTTGCATAGGTGACGACCAGGAGCATTCAGTGTCATGATAAGATGTGACACTGTGTAGAACTATGTCACGTATCCTTCAATACAATGCCAACTATTGGATGTCTGCATCATTCGATACTCCTCTGACACCAAATGATTCTCCCAACCCTGAAAGATGTCACTGAGATTCTGAAAGACAAAGGTGTCGGGAGCAGCCTAATAAGGAGATATGGGTATGGTCTGCACATAGCTAAATTGCCGCAGGCATCACTCTGACATATACCTGACCATAATGCCGCTCTCACATGTCATCCATCCAGAGTATAATGAGATGAATTCGAACTAGATAATCTCCCGATGATCCTCGAACGACGTCCATAGGATGTCATAATGGACAGTCTGATCCAGATACACCCAAAACGACACCACAACCTGGTTCCCTCAATGAAGGACATACATAGCATCCCTCAGTATCTGGTCACTATACTGCATATTCAGCTCAAAACCATGGATGCGGTGGAAGTGAGAAATGATTCAGCCCTGAAAAACGAATAAGTTTCATGTAAGAACAAATTATAATTATTAATAGTAAATTGAATTTAATAGTTGGAATGAAAATTATCGTCAGCAGTGTAGCAGAGCATGTCAGCTGCCGTGTCCTTTAGTTAGAGGCTTCATTCAGATTTTGGTACAGGTATACCAAACATCTGGTCCCTCATTCGATGTTTCCTCCACTTCTTCCCGCGGTACCCGACTACGTCCTCGACGCCTCATAGCCTACCCAGCTCTCTTTCGTCTATATTTTCTATTTTCTTTTTGAATAAATAAGTTTCATTGGAAACTATTGTATTTCGAGTATGTGATACACTTGGGTATTTTTTGCAGCATGACAACTTGCGACTCTACTGGGGGAAATCTCTCTAAGAGAGTCCACCCTAGTTTAGTTGTTTTTTGCGATGATTGTTATGTTTTTTTAATTGCTTTATTCTTTATATTTTATCTTTTTATATTCTATGTGTCTTCTTTCCTATTATATTCATATGTTGTTAACTTAATATGCTGTGTTGGGAATTCTCTGGATGATTTCATAGGTAGTATGAGAGAGGCTCTATACTAGAGTTTGAGAAAACACATAAGTTAAGATTGTGGTTGTGTGGTGTTGATCTTTTGGATGTATGTCTTATTTGATTGGCACAAAGACCCCTTATATAGTAGATTCTTTTGAAAGTGTTATTGGCCTACGAGTATTCGTTACGTCGATAATATTTGGGTTAATGACTTCGGGAACCTTTTGTGTTGAACCCCCAAACTTATTTGTAGGATCTCTGTATAGAACCAGAGTCCATGGTTGTGTAGTGTTAACCTTATGGACGTATGTGTAACGCCCGTTAATTTAATTAATTATTTAATTAAATTAATTACGGATTAATGGTTGAAATATTGTTGAAATTGTTGAAGTTACGAAATATCGAGAAATGTTGATTTAAGTTGCTAAGTTGTTATTTAATTGATTGGTTGATTAATATTAACAATAATATTAATATAAATATTAGAATAATATAAGGTTTATTAGTTGGGCTCATTATTTGGTTGTATGGAGTAATAGGTGGAGTGTGAAAGTTAGGCCCAATAAGAATATTAATAATTATAAGGTTAAGCTAATTATAAGGAGAATTAGGTTAATTGAACAAGTCTTGGAGTATTTTGTAGGAATGTGGAAGTTGTAAAGTTACAGAGAAGAGGCAAAGGTTGGAAACTTTGGCAAGGCTAGGCTCGATTGAAGAAATTATAGAGAGGTCTCCAATTCAAGGTAAGGGTGGGATTTTGACTCTATAATAGGAATTATGATGAATAGTATGTGGGGTTGGTTATATGAAATTATCGTGTGTGATTTTGTGTGAAAGGTTGTTGTTTTGTTGCTACTGCAATATTGTGTTTCCTGATAAAGTTGCAGAAATTCAATTGATGACTCTGTTGTTGGAGAATTATTCTATGTCGATGTTGGTGTAATTATGGTATTATTATAATTATATGTTGCGTTGGTTGGATTGAAATACTGTTAATCAAAGGAAAATTGAAAATAAAAAGGAATTACGGAAGTCTGCGTAACCAGAGACTGAAAACACATTATGCCGAGGGGCACAATGAGTGTGCCGAGTGGCACAGAGATAATGGGCATGCCGAGGGGCATTGGAATGGGTGCCGACCGACACCATGTTGGAAAAAGGAAGGTGTACCGAGGGGCACACCACTTGTGGCGACAGGCACACTAGTTTTATATAGTTTCTCAATTTAATCCATTTGATAATTGATTAAGGCCCCCATATTTTATTTGAAGAACTTAGTATCCCTTGATCATGTAGTTCATATTTAATTAAAGATTACTATACCTAAATAGCAGTAACAGTAATAAATTAGTAGGAGAATAATCTAGCAGTATAGTAATTACAAGTAGCAGAGCTTATGAAATAATAGTACCAGGATGGTCTCAATAATATTAATACAAAGTAGAAATATTAGTAATTTGGGCAGAGGAATAATTAGTCGGTTATAGTAGAATTGTCCGATTAATTACACGGGACGTTGTAGCATATAAAAGTAGTAATTTTAGCAGATAATTATTAAGCCGGTATAGTCGATTTATCCTGATAATTATACGGAACAACTGTTGTATATTTTAGTCGACATGGTGTGTTGAATACTTTGCTGAAAAATATGAATTTCAGGTGGTATCGAATTGTTAGGCTTATGGTCAATGTTTTTTTCTGGTTGATGTTGTTGTCGAATTACTACTATTGATATGTTATTGTTATTGTGACGTATTAAGTTGTAGGCTTATGCCAACGTTGCGCTAATTGTTGTTGTTGAAATATCAAGTTATAGGCCTATGGCCAGTGTTGAAATATTGCTAAGTTGTAGGTGTATGACCAGGGTTGAATTGTTGTTAAGTTGTTGTGAATTCTTGTTGG